GTTCTACTAGTAACAAGAGGTTACAGCTCACTTTGGTAGGCCAGAAGTACTTCATCTTCTCGAATTTGGAGCAGAGCGATTGGATAGTCCGCAACAGTTGACTCAATGAGACATACAGGGTTCCACCTGGCCTCGTGACAGCTGGACAGAATAAAAGCTGTCTGCTCCAAAGAAGAAACCTTTCGCCGTTGACAGCATGCACATCGCCGGCTCTCTCGTTTCAATCACCTGAAATCCGTTGATTTACGGTGTTAAGCCCAAGCGCTCAGGACCCAGATCAACTCACTTGGTGTCCCGTGAAGACATCCCGCGCCGCGTTGTACTTCAGGATGTGGATCTTCGCAGAGCTTGCCGCACATAAGTATCTTAAACTTGCACTGGACCAAATGTAACTGAGTCAGGTCATTCAAAAGGCCTACCTCTGTCCATCCTGCAGATGATAAGCAATAGCATGGAGGTGATCATAACCCGAGATGACGTCAGCATGGACGGATGGATGAGTAACGTTCAACGCTAATTTAAGCGCTGGTAACGGAACTAGGGCTAACGATCGCTTGTGATCGATAATCAAAGCGAGTATGTTAAGATCCGCTAGGCATTCCATCTGAAACAACTCTTCAATAACAACTGCTGGGGCTCAAGGGACCTTCACCGCAATTCAGGTATCGAAGAGAACACTGTGATCTTATGAAAGCGAAAGAAATTGGAGGCGCTGTTCGGCTTGGGAGGGGCATTTTGTACTTCTGCTTTGTACTTTGTTCTTTTTGCCAGATCGTGTAAACAGATTACACTTTGGTGGACCTGTAAACTTCTGTGAAGTTGCGAAATAAAGTAAGTTAATCACTTTAGTTACATAAATCTACGTGTCTTGACGAAATGGTCTAAGCTGTCTTCCCTTGAGATCATTTGGTGCACCTACCAAGCCAAATTGCGCCAAATTAAAATTAGACCCATCGCTGGAGAAACAAAGGGTTTCAAGGGGTTCGAAGGTCTGGCATACGGTGCAATTCAAAATACGAATTTTCAGAACTGCATGAGATTCAGAACAGACTCGCCCTTCTAAACGACAAGCTGAATGGATCCATGATATATAGGTGTTGAGGTAATGGGTTGTGCTAATGGTATGCTACGACACCACCGAGCTTTGCTTGTCCGCGCCCTCGTAATCACATGTAGCGGTCCCTTCGCCTTGGAGAGAGCCGAACGGGTTAGAGGGGGTGCAAGCTGACCTTCCCCTCCAAACTAGCATGGTAGCGGAAATCATGTTTACTTGTTTCAAGGATAAGGTCGCATTCATGCAATGCGAGTGTAGAAAATCCGCAATTGCTGAAAATCGAAATCAAAACAAGGTATAGTGTAGTTCGCTGAGGATGAAGGGGGTGGCAGACGGAATGGATCTGGCGCGGCGCCAAATCCGATTTCCACCAGTTGCTCAAGCGAGCAAGTGACAAAAGTTTACCATACCGTTCCTATCAGTCGTTTACCCCAACTGCTGTCGCTTACCCGCTGCAACAGCTGATAGAGAACGAATCTGGCGTTGCATCAAATCATCCCACCGGACACGCCCCTTCGACCGCAGCGAACAAAGACTATAAGTACTACTCCCTGTCGCCAAAGCTGTAGAATCGCAGATTCTCCCCAATCGCAAAGTACCAACGCGGCGAACGGGCCAAGGGAGCGCACGGCGCCGTTCGGCCTGGAAGGTGCATTTTTGGGGAACTTTCGCTAGTTCCTGTTGGATTTCACGTCACACCTTAATAAGACCTGTAAATTCTTGTCAAGTGTAAACAAAGCTCGTGGTAGCTTTACAGGAAGTAACACGTCCTCACAGGAGGCATCGGCAGGGATCGAAGAAAACATCACAGTGCCCCACCCCCAAGCCGAACTGCAGCGGACCACACATATTCAAAATAGGCCATTTTTATAACAGGCAGATGCAACTAACCGCGGTAACCGAGTTGAATCCTGCAATTCTGACAGGTACACGTGCACTGCTAACACTTGTGAAGAACAAGCCGCTTTGAGCACCGATAAGGAGATAATCATCAACGACCTGAAGCATCTTTTCTTTGTTTACTGCCTCTTACCACTGAACCCTTAAGTCATAACTACTTATACTTACACAGGTAGTATGTATAGTAAGATTGTTAGGCTTTGAGAGTACGAGAAGGCAGGACTGCTCTGAGAAGGAGCTTGGCCGCCTAGTGAGCATCATCCTTCTGGTTGAGGCGCTTTGGAGAGCCTCTGCCCATCGCTTTGCTTGTTTGGCGGCTAAAGTGTGAATTTAGCCTCAATTGAATATAGTTTCTCAGATTATGAAGTCACCTGTCAGTTTTCAAGTGGACGATATTATGGGAGACCTGGCCGTTCTCCATTTTCACAGGCACTTCACTTCCAACTCGGACTATTCTGAGTTCTTTTTCTAGGTCCACCTAAACGGAACTGTTAGAAAGAAAGTGGCGGCAATTCGGCGACGGGTGGGGGAGGGAGGAAGGGAGGGGCATTTTGCATATTTGCCGTCCCACCGACGTGTCGACTCATCTAGAGAGTCATTTCGTGAGCTTACAAGGATTGACATGTTTTACCATGGCGGCTTGACTAGCTTGCTCCGACTTCACAAGAGTTCACAGGTTTCACCAGAGTGAGACTTGTGAAACTGGAACTAGTGAAGCAACGAAAGTGCAAAATGCCCCCCCCCGACGTCATCGAACTGCGCAAGAAAGCGCAATAGTGAGCTCTAAGAGAACAGGATAGTGACGAACCGTCAGGAATGGCTTCCGAAGGTCAGTCTGTACAGAATCGTTGTCATAGAAAGCAAGGCGTTTCTCATCCATCTCGCCCCATGCTGACTGCCATTCCCTCACGCTACTGTCATCTCTGAAAATGCTGACCATTACGAGAATATGAAGATTTCAAGTTGCATGAACCCACCTGAACAATCGTACCCATCCGTTCATCCTTCCATTTGGCGCACTATGAGAATCCAGGTAATAATTCGCACACTGATCGGGTAAACCACACGTATTAACAACTCGTTTTGAGCACTGGGAATGCACGATGATGCCGCAGTGAGCACAGCGCTTCTTCTTGGCCAACTAAACAACATAGTTCGGAGTTAAGAAAACTTCACTTCATTTTAAAGCTGAATTCATATAAAGCAACTGTAGACGGATTGGTATTTTAAAAAACCAGGAAGCAACAGAGCACCTAGTCCCATTCAGGTAGTGTTCGGGTGCCATTTGACTCTGAGTTCACAAGGTGTGGTCCAATATCTCAAGTGCTGAATCACGTCAGCATCACGAGCAAAGGGCGCAATTCGGCGAAGGGGGGGGGGGCATTTTGTATTTTCCTTGCTTAAAGGCAGTGGGCACGATATTTTGGTAATTGGCCTAAAATGCTAGTAAGGCGCGATATAGTGGGAAATGGGCGAAAAAAACGAAGTGAAACGGTCAAAAACCT